ATCACTACATTCCCTCCGAGATCTTTCAACGTTTTCCTCTGCCCACGAGTTGATTTCCTTCTCAAACTCCGAGTCGAAGTTGTCGTTGGTGGTGGGTGTCCCAAGTTTGCGGTAGTGCTCTACTAGGACTTCCCGCTTTCCTTTAGAACTGCTTACCGGCTTACCCTCGGCAGATCGTAGTGTCGCTATTCCCGTGTCTCCCCCTCTTTTCTTGCCCACTATCCCTTGAATTCCTACCCACATTTGCTTCATCCCCCCCTCAAAATCTTCGTTAGTCTTTTGGACTACTTCCTCCCACAACGCTTTCTTCTTCTTCACCACCAACTCCTTCACCCTCTTTCTATTTTCAATATACTCCTTCCATCCTGCTTCGGTTTTCCCTGCCGCATATTTTGCGTGTGACTCTCTACGTACTCGAATTGCTTGCTTGATTTCTTCTTCCCACCACTTCACTGCTCTCCTACAAACTATCAACTTTCTACCGAGAACTGTACTTGCCGTTATGTTCACCAGCTTTTCCCACCCTTCTTTGATCCTAGATCCGGCCTGGTCCCGACCTTTGGCATCCTTCGGTGTGCCCATTGCCTCTATCAACTCCGAGAGTTTCTTGTCGTTTACAGCCATCTCTTCTTGAAACTCTACCCTCGTTTCTTCTACTTCTAGCTCGTCTATTCTCCATCTGTACATTTTCCTGCGTCGCCTACTCTGTATGACTCTCGTCTGTTGTAGGGCTGTCCACACCAACGCATGGTCTGTAGTGCCTACATCCGTTGTGCATACTCGTACTTCCGTCTCTTTCCCCTCATTCTCTACGACTATGTAGTCAAGGATGGAGCGTTCTCCTTTTTTGAAACACTGCCTAGTCCATTCCGGTTCTGTCTTTCGTACTCTACCGTTCAACACCTTCATCTCGCTACTGTCAAGGAACCTCAGCATTTCTTCGCCGTTTTGTTCGTGGCTCCCTCCCCATATTGCCCGATGGCTCCGTGTGGGTTCGTGGTTCGCCCGTTTCTTGAATTGAAGTCCCCAACTAAAACTACTTCTCCCTTTCT